GCACACTGCCATATTTTTTTCCTACTAAGTAGCTGGTGGGTTCAAACTGCCAACCTTTCGGTTAGCAGCCAAGCTCTTAGCCACTGTACCACCTGAGCTCTTGTTGGGGTAGATCTGTACCTGTAATTTACACAGATCAAACAGGTACACCAGGGAGGTACACCAGGGAGCCTTGGCCACAGGCTGGTTTTACCCTTTGGTAGAGAATTTCCTTACCTGCCGAAACCTCTTTAGATGTATAATAAGCACATCGGGCAGAGTCCACAGGCTTAAGGTAATACTCCCTTGCTGCAGCTGCTTACAGTGTGGGCAACGCCAGGCATCATCTGGGGCAAGCTGAAAACAAAAACCAAGCCTTCTGTTAGTCACCACTTAACGGTAGATGTTTTCTAGGAAGCAGCTGGACTAATCTCTTAGCCAGCACCTGGAACAACTCAAGAAACGCTCCAGAAACGGAACTAAGCACATTAGGGGAGTATATGGATAAACACAATCAAAGCTGGTGCCTCACCAGAGTTGGTGCCCAAACATTACGTTGAGATTATACCTCAGAAAGGAACAACAGGTACATACTGTGAACAACGCAAACCCAATGCTATCAAGTCGATTCTGACTCACGGAGACCCTGTATCGGGTTTCCAAGGCTGCAAATCTTTATGGGAGCAGCGAGCCTCAGCTTTCTGTGGAGCAGCTGAGAGAAGATTAAAACCACTGACTTTGCAGTCTGTAGCCCAACACCTAACCCACAGTGTCACCAGGACCCCTTAAATACTGTACAGAGTATATTAAAGATCACAGAAGCACCTCAAGTTACATATAGCCCTCAAATTCAACTCATCATCTTTCTACCCAATACTGTTTCTCCTTCCCTCTACCAGTCTCCCCTCTATCTCCGCTGCCATCAAGTTGATTCCGGCACCTAGTGACGCTACAGGACAGAGCAGAACTGTCCCAGAGTTTTCAATGCTGTCATCTTTGTCATTTTCATTCTTTTAAAAATCTACCGATCCCCTTTATATACTTCTTTATTGTTGTTATTGAAAGGGTTTCAAATTTACTGCCTAGCCTTTTCATTTCAACCTGAAGGGTACTCTTTAGAATTTTTGTTTGGTAGGTCTTGCCATGATGAACCCCTTGAGGGTTTTTTTTGTTTGTTTTTAATGTAAAAACCAACCATTTGTCAGAATTGTTTGCACTACCTTAGCTCACTGAGCATGGCTATGCCAAGTAATACTCATGGCACCTCAGCGATTTCTGCCTGAATGAGACTGTATCTGGATCACCTGTGAGCTTAAAAAACTTCATTCAACCCCCTCACTTGGGGGAAAGTCTACAGAGGAGACTGGTTTTCCACTCAACAATCTGTCCATTTTGTTTTGTGACACTGATGGCAATCTCCTCAACACAACAGCTCTCATCCCTCTTCCTCTCTGTATCCTTCTTTCCACTGGTCCTTTCCTATTCCTTCCTGCCTCAGAGTGTCGTGCCGTCCTCTGAGGCTTGTGGAGTTGATTGTCCAAGGGGGTACATACTTCCCTGATGTTCCTATTCACCTGCAAGTTGAGCCAGAGCAGGGAATTGAGTTCTAGGCTGGAAGGCTGATTTAGGGCCACGTCTTAGTGGTTCCACCAGTCTCCATCAGACCAAGTCTTTTTCATAAGTTGGAGTTTTGTCTCACACTTTTCTCCCACTCTATCCGGGACCTTCTTCTATGAAACCTTTGAGAGAAGTCTGCAGTAGCAGCTAGGCACCATCTAGTTCTTCTGGTCTTAGGGGCGTGGAAGCTGAGGCTCACGTGCTCCATTGGTTCTTAGACTATAATCTTTTCCATTCATTTTTAATTTTCTTCACACTGCTTTGCTTTGGACAGACAGGGAGAAACCAGCAGTTGACCTTAGAGGGCTATGTTATGCCAAATGACCTGGTTTGTAGTCTTTACCGAAGGAGACTGTCACCTTCCTCTGGTTTAAACTGCCAACCTTCTGATAGCAGTCAAGCACGGCATCACTGTACCACTAGGGGCCGCCCGATCTCCACTCACTGCCATCGAGTCAGTGTTGGCTGCAGTGCCCCCCTATGGGTTTCTGAGGCTGTCACTGATTAAAGGAGTAGAAAGCCCAGCCTTTCTCCTGAGGAGATGCTGGTGGTTTCAAACTGCCAGCCACGAGGATTGAGAGCCTAACTCGTAACCACTGTATCACCTGGGCTCCACTAGTAACAGCTTAATTAAGCCCTCATTCATTTTCTCACCTGGATTTCTTCAAGTCTCCTAGCTATTCTCTTGCCCCAAGCATTAAACTTCACCAGAACTTCCCTAAAAATCTTGCCCCAAATACTACATATATACCTTTCTTTGCAGCATTTTGAGGCCTCAAACACTCTTATGTTACCTGAGGCAGGTAATTTCAGGAGATGGCTGTATGAGGCTCAAAGTGTTGGTGGGGCATAGCTGATAAGAGATTTTAAAATCTCTGGAGATTAGACAGTAGCTACATCAGCTTTGGGGCTACCCATATTAAGGAGTACGGGGAGCCAAGGAAATGGATGACACTCTGTAATGAAAGGGGCAAGAGCCACAGGCAATGGTCTCCAACAGAGCATTGTAAACTTGATTAAGCCGGATCGAACTTGATACTTGGGTCAGATGACCTACCTCTTGACCTAATCTGAGTTTGTTCTAGGCTCAAGTATTTCTTGCTTGTTCCATGACAAAAAAATGTCTTCCCTGACTTTTAAATATTGATGGTGGTCCTGTCTTTCTTACTCATTCCTTGTATTTTTTTTCTTTATATATTATTGTTTTATCCTTACCACTTTATGTTGGTTTTGTTTCTGTTGGGTTTCTCAGTTTGTGAAGCACAGAAGTAAATGCACAGAGATAAGGGCTGGTGCAAACAGTTCATTGGGGATGTAGGGCTGGGTGGTGGGAGACAGCGAGGGTGAAGGGATCTGGGGAGAAACAATGAATGTGGTATGTTGGGGGACACGAGAACTGATGGTGATTATGTATACACATGCATTTTTAAAGCGACTTAACCACAGATGAAGGGCACCGAGTTGTTGTGTATGGGGCGCTGAGTTTACGTCAATGGTGGTAGAATAAATTAGGAAAGGATGTCGATAATGGCTGTACAACAAGAAGAGCATAATCAATGACACGGAATGATACAAGTTGAAGTTGGAGAATTGGAGAATGTTCTGTTATGTATCTTTTCCCCACAATTTGAACAACGATGACAAGGAACAAGAAAATGTTCTAGAATTGGATATGGTGACACCTGTACAAACCTTCCTGATATGACTGAATTACTGAATTATATCACATGTGGTTGAAGTGTTTTAAAACACACACACACACACAAATGCAATGTCAGAAAAAAGAGAAAGGCGATAGAGGCAAGGAATAGGAATCTTGGAGAAACACAAAACAGAAATCCGCTTCAGAATGCAGTCAGAGAAATAAGGAACTCAGACCCATTCCCTTTATGCTACACCAAGAAAAAGGAGAGGCAGGAACTGGGTGACACTCTGCACCAGGCTCCACGGAGAGGTCAAGAGGACGGAGCAGCAGCCACGGAAGTGAGCAACTCAGGGCCACTGAGAACTCCAGACGACAGTGTGAGGAATGCAAGTAAGAGGGGTCTGGGAGTGAGTAACAGCTACAAGTGCCACTGATAGTAACCTCAGGGAGAAAGGCAGGCATGGTAACGTGAAAGGAAAGCAGGACTGAGGTCCACGTATGTTTTCCCAGGATGAGGAGTTCCAACCATGTTCGTCGGTGAAGGACAGTTATGTGACTTATTGATAATCTACTTAAGTGACTATCTAACCCAATGTTTATGGTAACAGAGCAAGTAGTTGAACGTTCAAACTGACTTTCATAAAATACAATATGGATGTTGTGCCAATGTCTGGTTGCTTTTAGAGTTCCTAAAAGACTTCTCTGATCTCTGGACATCTGCTAACGGGATCTCCTAGACAGCACAGACCCGCAGTCTATGCTTTGAATCCCAGACTGCGTAGAAAATGAAGGAGGCTCTCTCAATAGGCAGCTGGACCCACTTGCAGATAGTTTGCTTAAAAGTTTCTTCCTGTAATCTCCGATATTTACGTCCTGCCTTTTAGACACAATCACATCTAGCTCCTGATCCACAGAGCAGTTCTTAAGTTTCTGAAAACAATTATCAAACCCCATGAAGATCTCCTTCACCCACTCTGTTCAGTCATGCCATGACACTGTGCTCGGGAGAGGGATGAGAAGGAACCAGTCCACCCTCTCAACTGAAAACACCTGAGCCAATGACAAGAGCAGCACTACCACCACCGGATTTCTGGACACTTTCTAAAGCATCTGTATTAGGCTGGGTACTTTGGAGAAACAAATCCACAGCAACTCATGTCTAAGAGAGAGTTTTATGTAAAGAAAGTGTGCATCACGAAAACATCCCAACCCAATGCTGCCTAAGCCCACAAGTGCAACATTAACCCACTAACCCAACACCAGTCCACCTCACAAAACAGAGGCAGTGATGCCGACTGCAGGAGGAAAGCTGAGTCAGTGAAAGAACAAGCATCTCAGCACTAGCAGGGGTCTCCACACGGCTGCTCCAGCACCCAGGGCTGCATCGGGGTAGGTCCATGTAGCTTCTCCTTGGGGATGTCTTGTAGGAAGTCAATCTTGCAAGCTGAAGCAGGGAACTGCTAAGGCAGCTTGCACCTGGTGCGACCATCACAAAACAAGAGACCCGAGAACTAGAAAGGCGAGGCTCACCACCCATTTATCCCTCCGCCTTTCAATTAACCCCACATGTGATTATCGGCCAGGCTGGCACAATTAACTAACTTAACATCCTAAGGCAGCATGACCCTGGCTCACTTTACGATCAATACTAAGGGTCAGACAGCTATTATCATACAGCTTACTGCTAAATCTCACTTCCTTTCCTATACTTGTACGTTCATATTAGGACCCAATGACTAAACTTCCCAAGTGTAATTTATTCATTCATTCATTTACACATTTATTGAACACCTTTTTCTGCACCAGGTGCAGCTCCAGATGCTACCATATTTAATGAACAAGATAGATGGCATCCTTGCTATCATCGAGCTTCTGATACCCCCTTTACTCTCTCCTCGCCGCCTGTGCTGCAGCCACCTTGGCCTCATTGCTGTTCCTCAGCCATGCCAAGTGCCTGGCGGCTCTGTAGGTTAAGTGACCTGCAGCTGCTCCATGAGTGAAAGCTGAGGACATCTGCTCCCATAGGCTCACTGTGAGTCACATCTACTCGAGGACAATGAGTACTTGTTTACTGTCTGTCGCCTGACTGGGTTATAAATGGCAGGAGGGCGGAGATCTTGTCTGTCTGTTCCCTGCAGCATCCCCAGTACCAAGTGACGTGCCTAACACATACTATGTATTCAATAAGCATTTACTGAACGAGTGAGTCATTATTAAATGCATCCTGCTAGCTTGAACTCATCATTCTAGACTGATGAGGCACTCTGTAGAATTCTGGGTTACCAAGTGTCCTCCAAAAGATATGTACAGGTCCCAAGCCCCAGTACCTGTGAATGTGACGACCTTATTTAGTGTGGTCGACATATAATTGTTTGTCAATTTGAGGATTAAGAGTGTAGGGGTGGAGTCTAGCTTGTCAATCAGATCATAGCTAATGAGGCCTCGGTGTGGGCATGGCGTTCTCCTGAGAATTCGGGGAAATCCGGTATTTCCTCCTTGGAGGTGGGAGACTCTCTGCTCACTCCCTGGGAGACATCGCAGCTGACAAGACACACGGACCCACCCTGATGCAGCCCTGGGAAGCCATGCAGAGACCCCTGCCAGCGCCGAGATGTTTCCAATGCCACTGGATCCAAAGACTTTCTACCCACTGGCCTGTGATCTTCCACATTAGGTGTCACTGCATGTGTTTCGTGAGTCTGAAGAGGGAGAAATAAATCTAGTCTACCTAGACTAACAAATTTAGAATTAGGCTATTTGTAGATCATCCAGGATAGGACAAGCCCTGAATCCAAGTTCGTTCTTATAAGACAGAAAGAAAACACACAAGTACGCAGAAAAGAATGCCATGTGACGAGAGAAACAGATATTGAAGTTACACACATCCAAGCCAGGGAACTGTTGTGGCTGGGTCTGAACTAGGCAGCCCCCGTTTGGACTAAACTGAAGTAGGTCCGGGCCCTGCCCATGCTTCCCTGCACATACCAGAGGTCAGCAGCAGCTGGCCAGAGAAGGTAACGGGTGAAACCTGATGTTCCCGGTTCAAAGAAAGCCTCCAGGAGCCGACAAGCAATTCTCCCAGTTTCCAGACCCCATATGCTAACTGCCATACATTCCTCACCACTGCTTTAAAAACCCTCGCCCCCAGCTGCTGAGCACGAAGTCCCTGGCCTAGGTCACGGAACCTCACCCAGGAGCTCCCTTAACCCCTAATAAAGCTATTTCTGTTTCTGCTCTCCCTTGTCCTGTCAGTTATGTCTGCCTTTACAGGAACACCAAGAACTGCTCATGATTAGAAGCTAGGAATTTGACTTTGAGGATCATAACAAACTAGGGGTGACAGGGAGAAGAATCAGAATTCCAAGACAATTCATTGTGTTCTGCAGAACCTGTAATGGACCACGAACGAGATAGTCATTCAGACAGAACAAGGGAATACGACATGCTTTAAAAATCAAGAAACGTATGCATCAGGGTTGTACTGTTTCACCACACTTAGTCCATCTATATGCTGAGTAAATAATCCAAAAGCTGCCTTAGGTGAAGAACTTGGAATCAGGACTGGAGACTTACTGACAACTTGTCATGTGCAATGACACAATCTTGCTTGCTTATAGTGGGGAGGACTTAAGCACTTGCTGATGAAGGACTGCAGCCTTGACCGTGGATTGCAACTCGGTGTAAAGAAAAGCAAAATCCTCACAGCTAAGCCAGTAGGCAACATCACGATAAACAGAGAGAAGATGGAAGTTGTCAAGCATTTCTAGTTGATCCTCATGGAAGCAGCAGTCAAGACACACTGCACTGGATACATCTGCTGCACAAGACCTCTTTAAAGGGCGACGGAGCAAGGCTGTCACTTTGAGGATGAAAGTGCACCTGACCCAAGCCATGGTATTTTCAATCACCTCATATGCACGTGAAAGTCTGACGCTGAATACGGATGAAAAGATCAATCAATGTGTTTAGATCATGGTGCTGGCGAAGAATATTTAAAAAGGACCAACGAGTGGACTACCAAAAGAACACACAAATCTGTCTTGGAAGTACAGCCTGAATGCTACTAAGAAGCCAGGCTGAGGAGCCTTCACGTGAGTGCTATTATCAGGAGAGCCCAGACCCTGGGCAAAAGACATCAAGGGTGATAAAGTAGAGTGGTAGTTGAGTGAAAATGAGGAAGGCCGTCAAGGAGATGGACAGACAGTGCCTGCAACATGGGCTCCACAGAACAACTGCCAAGCTGGGACACACCAGGCCGTGTTCTGTTACTGCACCCAGGGCTGCCATAAGGAGGACCGGACTTGACGACACCTCGCAACAACAGAAGAGAGGCGAGGGGTACACAAGATTCTCTCTGAGCTTCCACGAGGAAGTAACTGTCAATATCGTGGTTGCAGATTCCTGACCCCTAGGGTTGAAAGAACACATTTCTATTGTTTCCAATCACCACGTTTGTGGTCATTTGTTACACCATCCCTGGAAATAAGTACCACCAGCACGGTCATCTACACAGTTTGCTCCCCCTAAGCATTCTGCCATCCTCAAACAGCTCCAAATCCCTGTTCCCACGCCACTTGCGGCCCCACAGGCTACTCAAGAGCAGGACACTCACACACAGCCTGCAATCAAGCCATTCCCAAAGCAAGTCCAAAGCTAAAATCATGTCTTATGAGAACCTTTTGGTAAAGAAATTAACTTAGCACAACTTGAGAGAGAGGATTTAGTGAAAACACAGAAGCTACTTTCAAATACCAGATGGTCGAAAAAAGAAAAATCAGTCTTTCTCAATTTTCCTAAAGAATTCAAAAGATAAAACTAAACATCTGTTGTTATAATAACCAGGGAACATATTATAAGTTAGCTTCAGGCACTATCAGAGCTATCAAGAGATGAAACTGTTATGCATTTTGAATAGGCGAATGAACACCTCATAACAAAAGGTATTCAAACAGAGGTTGGACAATCACTTTCTTGGAACATTCATTCAAATAATTACTGAGTCTGACTGTCTGCACAGCACGGAGCTCTGACGCATCGCTGCCCAACAGAACTTTCTGTCCATGCCTATGCTATATGTCACTTGTAATGTGGATAATGTAACTGAGGAACTATGGCTTTTAAATTTTCATTTCGCCTTTTAAAAAATAAATTAAATTTAGATAGTTAGTGACACTTATATTCTTAGAAGGACCCACAGTAAGTAGTGCAATGGTAAAGCACTTGACTGCTAACCAAAAGATCGATAGTTCGAACCCACCAGCCAGCCGCTCACTGGGAGAAAAGACCTGGCAATGTGTTCCTGTAGCGATTACGCCTAGGAACTCCCACAGGGCAGTTCTACTCTGTCCGATGAGCTCACTATTTGGCGGCACAAAACAACTACACTTATTCTTGGACAGGACCAAAAAGTTGAAAATCACTGTTTTAGTCACTCCATAAATTAATTTAAAGTTTGTGAAATCAAACCAAAAAATAAATTTATTGTTAACCATAGAAGGTTTTTTTTTTTTTAAATTAATCAATTTATTGGAGCTCATACAATTCATCACAATACATAGATCAATTGTGTAAAGCACATCTATACATTTGTTGCCCTCATCATTCCCAAAATTCTCTTGCCTCTTGGGTTATCCATAGGTTTTAAAAGCACAAATTACAAAAGTTCCCTTATAGAGCATTTCAATTAATCAAAGTTTTCTGAAAAGTCAAATGATTTTTTGTTAGCAGTTAATCTGGGTAATGTCCTAAAAGGGTCAGCACTAGAGCACTCATCAAGTGTGGAGCGTAAGTGTACTTCAGGAGTCTTTGAGCGCTTCCATGGTCATTGTATCCGCAGCTCTTTACTGCCCCTACTGTCCTCACCTCCCAAGCAATGCTGCCCAGCCTCTTACCCGTTCCTCTTTGGTGTAGAGTTGGAAACACTGAGATAAAGTGCAAGTCTGAGGCTGATGATGGCGCTCCTTTTGTAGACGGACACTCTCTGAGTCAGGGATATACTCATCTTCAGTATTTATAAACAAGCTGCAATTAGGGGGGACAGCATGTATCAGAGAATGTTATGCAAAACTGACAAAAAATACAATTATAGTTTATAGTTTAGGGAGTGGCCATGAATTCATCACAAAAAGATCAATGTATACAAACAAAAGCAGTAATTCAATTTTTCAATATTTCAAAATGTGCTTTCAAGAAGTAACTTAGAGCTGGTTTTTCTGGGACTGGTCATGAACCGTGCTGACTAATCAATATATGCTGCTCCTCATGTTTAGAATCTGCACTGACACCCTTTACTAAAGTTAATGGGCCTGTAATTTAAAAACTTTAAAGTAACTGGACCTATATAGTTACTTCTGTCTCCAGCAGCAAACAAACTCTCTCGGGCTTGGAGGTCTGGAAGAGAGAATGGAATGCAAAGGAGTAGCACGCTGCTGGACACAAAGGACTAGCCATACATGTGGCTACTAAGCTAAAGAGAAGAAAGATTTGCATTTCGACGAATTTAAAGATCAGAGATGTGCGACTGATTTATATGAAAACAACTATTTTCTAATGCTAAGTTAAAATAAATAAATAAATACTCACAAATCTTTTGTCTCCTTGTCCCATTCTACTACTAATTTCACATGAGCAGTACCGCCTGGTCCACAAGATTTTAAAGCCCTGCAGAATGAGGAGATAGGGGAAAGCTATACATTGTTTACCAAAAAAAGGATTTTATCTCAGTGTGATGATGTCCTATCTAAAGGCGTAATATAATCAGTGAAAGCTTCGGGACTAAGTTTTATAACCTCAGGCGTAATAACTAGCTTGTATCTGGACTGGAAAAAAACTCCTTAAATTAGCAGGCGTCCAACAGGGAAATAAAGATGTTGGGGAAATGCAGGAACACACTATCAGGCTGTCAACAGTCACTCTGAGGTGTTCCTTTTTGCCCAATTTCTCACCGACCCAATAGCAAGTGGGCAACAGTTCCCCCAGGAGCAAACTCTGTTCTAGCACCTACCTCACCATCATGCCACAGACTGTGCTTAATACCATCACATGTCCTGTGACTTGCCAGACACCACACACACTCTGCCGATGGCCATGTAAATTACATCCATCCACCGAGGCACCACTCGGGTCCCATCTCCCTCCTTCGAGCACCTCGAGAGAAACTCTTCCCCTGTCAACCTCACTCCACTAGCATTTTCCATGCTTCTCAGGTTTGGATTGACTCTACTAAGTCTCATGTCCAAAACCAAATAGGGAGTTATTTTCTAACTGGACTATGTTGTCTACTTTTTAGAATCCTGAAATGCAGACACAAGATTTGCTGGGGGAGGGGGGGGTTAGGGGGGATGGAAAACTATAATAAAAAACAGTAACTTGAGTATCTGTGTTTACATAGTCATACAAGTATATAAATATATAGACAAATAATAGAGGCCTATATCTCTATTTTATTAATATTTTACATGGAAAGCATATATTTTCAGGGTGATTAATTTCAGAGTGAAGTGATAAATTCCACCAGGGGTAGGATGGACAGTATGAAGACAGGTTTACAGGAAAATAATTATGATGAGAGAAACCAGACATGCAAAGGCACTATGAAACAGTACAGTATGTTAAGTAAGCACCAGTCCCGTGATACTGCTGAAGGTTTAAGAGGGTGGGGCCAGGAACAGTGAGACATAACATAACAGAAGCATTCAGGGTTCAAACTATGAAGCATCTCTGTGGAATCTGGGCTGTACTTTTTAAGCCAAAGGTATCACTGGAATGTGGCATAAATAGAATTCTATCTTGGTAAAATTCAATCTCAGTGAGTATAAAAGTGTAATTTATTCTAGCCCACATCCATTGCCACTGAGTCGATTCTAACTCAGAGTAAGCTTCTGTAGGTTTTCTGAGGCTATAAATAATGACAAGAAGAGATACCTCATTTTTCTTCCATGAAGCAGCTGGTGGGTTTGAACCACCAATCTTATAGTTAGTAGTCCAATGGCACTGCTTTGTTTCCTAACCTCAATATGACATAGCTTTTCTGATTTCAGTGGAAACAGTTGAACATATTGTCCACAAATATTATAAAATTAAAATAGGTATTTAATTTCTAAACGAGACTAAGAAATCTACCGCATTCACGTGGAAATCATATTAGAGGTCGCTTGAAATCCTCTGTGAGCACATAGGAAAATGCAGGTGATCTGAATTGTCTTTACCTTTCGACTGTTGGATGGCACAGGGGCTGCTCCTCCTGGGGCAGCAAGTATGTTATTCCCACAACACTGACCACACGCAAACTGAATGGACACACCTGTGCCAGATGTTAAACAAGAGTTAGACTGAATTTCTCTTCAAGTTTATCTGTTTTACAGAGGCATTTCCAAAGATCAAGAGGACAGTAAATTTTCATTTTATCTATAAAATGCTTCGCTGTCATTTGGCTCAGTTGTTGGACCAGTCTAACAGACTTTAACTATGATCTACCCAAGTACCATCTACCTGTCATATATTGTGCAAGACAAGTCAAACATTGCTTAAGCTGAACGTTAACTTGATGGTCCTCAATGGATAACTTTAATTTTTTGGCAACAATCATACTCTTTAAAATATCAAGGAAATATTTTACCAAAACATCTCTAAGTTTGTCATGTGCCAAACCCAGTCAACAAACATTATAAAGAAATACCCAGCAGTTCAAGAAGAACCGTGCAGCAGCCAGGGTAAGGGCTCTGTTTGGAAACTCTGAACACAGCTGATTTTACTACGAGGGCTTCCAACATCCCAGCTTGGTGTCTGGTTTTCCCCAAGAACAGAGATCTGGATTTTACATCCTATTGGAGTAGTTTTTTTCACTGGGGACACAAGCATGCTATGCTGGGGTATCAAAATGCTCACAAACCTGAATGCAAACAGTGGGCCTCAAGAAATACTTCATCTTCTCTAAAATTTCCTTCTGCAGAAGGTCCCACGCTATTGTCTTCTCTAGATGCAGCACAAAAGGCAGTCCAAACCTAACAAAGATAAATACTGTAGTTTCTTTAAAAGTATGGCAATTCCTATAATACTACACACTTCCTTATTCTTGGTCTTTTCAAATAGAATCACAATCAAATTGGTTCTAGGACCATTCTCAAAATAAAACAAATAGGAACTGTAAAGCTCTCATTAATAGCTTATATACCAAGTCGTTTCTAGTGGGTGCTGATGCTAAGATATAAAGCAGCAAGAGCACAGGATTAGAGGAGAAGAAGGGGAGGGGGAAGAGGGGTGGTGGTGAACATGACAAAAAGCGTAAGTCAAACAGAACGGGGGTCAAATGCCAAGGGAACAGATAGAGTTGGAAGAGCTAGCAGGCAGGCAGCCATATCCTAGTCATCTTGAGCTCCTAGGGGAACACTGGCAAGAAAGTGATAACATAAGTCAGCTCCTACCCTAGGGCAGAAGCCATCTGGTGTTTGCTAGGCTTCCTCTGTCACTGATGGGATCACATGTGTTAAGAGAATCAGAGACAAGAAAGTGGCTACATATCAGAATCAACCAATCAACCAACCCAAACCTATCTCACTGCTACTAAGTCAATTCCAACTCATAAGACAAGTACCACTGCTCTACAGTTTCCAAGGCGGTAAATCTGTATGGACGCAGACTGCCACATCTTTCTCCCACAGAGCTCAGGGGGTTGAACTACCAATCTTTTCATCAGCAGCCAAGCATAAGAACCATTGAACCACCCTGGCTCTTTAAATCACCTCAGGAGCTTAAAAGAATTACTAAGCTCACATTTGAACCGGTCTGGTATGAGGCCTATGCACTGAGAGTTTTTAGGGGTTCCCAGCTCATTCAAACAGGCAGCCAAGGTTTACAGTCTTAAGTCTACCCCAACTTGCCAACTTCGACCCAAGTCTCAGTCACTCCATTCTACTTACAACACATCCATTTCTTGTAGGAAATTCCCTCAACTGGGAGTCCTCTCCCGGCCCCTCTTTATGCTATCTCCTCCACATCCACATCAAAACGCAGTGAGGCACTTCTCCAGCAAGCACACTGTGGGGTGGCTGTCGCTAACAGCACCAACCGCACTGGGCTGTAAATGCTGCCTGCTGTATTTTCTGCCTCCACCAATACACCACAAGTTATCTGATAGCAAAAGGGTGACTCACTTACATATGCAGTTGGTTCTCAATAGCACAGCCAATGCGTAGAAAATAGTAGGTGCTTACTAAATGTGGAATGAATGAGTGAATGAAAAATCAAGTGAACAAACTAACAGATGAATGCTGGTCCAACCCAAAGCAGAGGTACTAAAATAAGTAAGAAACCAGCTCGTCTTGGCAAGCATCAAGTCGTTTATTCAAGTTACTACTCAACAGTTAATTTAACTACCTACATGGCATTGGGAGCTGCAGTAAGTCCCAAGACAAGTAAATCGCCTGGCAGATTTCTCATGTAATGACATTTTCACTCTGAAGATAACGAGCATCAGCGCCTAGAGCAAGATGGCCGCAGGAGCAGCTGCCTGCTCCCATCTCCGAACTAAATACCAAGATAAAACAAACCAGCAGAAGGTGGCAGGAACAACTCTGTCAGAACCGAAGCATCGACAAAAGGTCACAGCCACAAAGCAAATGCTGAATCAAGAAAAAGGTGATTATCGGCAGTAGGAAAACCTAGTTGTCTACAAGTCTGGGCTCCAGTCCCTTCCCAGCCCAGCATGTTCATCTTAAAGTGTGGAGAGGGATTCTGATGTCTGCTTCTCAAGGAAGCAAAGCAGACTTCACTTGCAAATGTATGTCTGCCCTAACATGTCTAGGGCTGACTGCCGGACTGAATCAAAAGGTAGTCTTAGTCTGAAAGCCATCCTTACTCGTGAAGGGTTGGTGGGCAGGAGACAATAACCTAAGGCTATAACCAACTTAAGACACCCAGAGATAAAGAGTGCCACTAACGCACACAAATAGGTGCCTAAAGACTGGAAGGAGAGGTTGCAGGCAACATTTCAGAAATCAAGGCACAGAATGACCAATAAAGCAACACATATGCCCAGAGCAAGCTGAAAATACACCAATTACCTGTGAAAGCCCCAGATTTTCACCTTAGGCTGAGCCAGTGTGAAATAAACCTGGCTAAGTGTGGAAGGAGGACACAAGCACAAAGTCAAATTGCCAAGACTAGGAAAAACTGTTTTATAATTTTTGTTTGTCTGTTGCTTGTATTTCTCCTGGAATTCATGAAAATCTTTGTCAAAACACTAGCTGAGCCAAGCTAAGGAACAGAGAGACCTTCTGTACATACCAAAGAAGCTAGCATTTGCAAAAACTGAGAAAGCTGATTTTCAGTTACCATATTACAATATTCAAATATCTTCATTTAAAAAAAACTAGGCCCATTCAAAAATAACAAAACGAAGTGACAGAAACTGTTCTGGTAAAAGCCCAGATAATGAACTTATTCGACAATAACTTTAAAACAACAGAATGAAATATATGTAAAGAGCCAAAGGAAAAAACAAAGCACTAAAGCACACCAGTGAAGCAATAAAGGAAAAAGAGGATTATCATTAAAGGGATGGAAATAGTAAAAGCACCCACATATAAATGCAGGAGCTGAAAAGTACTTTAATAGAAATGAAACATTCACTGGCAGGATTGGACGGCAGATTTGAGCTGGCTTAGGAAAGAATCAATGAACTAGAAGAGACGCACAGAGACCTAGGTGAAGGCTACATCAAGAAACAGTAGCTTCACATTTTGATATTTTTGCCTAATGCAGATTTCTATTATTTTGAAGCAACACTTTTTGACTTCTCCTTGTATGTGGAACACCCCAACCAAAAGAAGCATAGTACACATTCTTCCGTGTACACCTTCATTCCCAGGACACACCTATACTTGGTCATGAAACTGGTCTTCATGGAATGGGTGAAAGAGTTAGCTTGCTGTTACTCAAAATACTGGAAACATAACATAACTATGATTTAGTTTGTTAAAAACCTAAAACTTAAAATGTAACAGCCCTTGCAGCAAAAATTCCTTTTCTGCCCAATTAGTAGGAATGTTCTAACTCAGAAAAGAGGCAAGCAAGGCCCTTAAAATAAGGAGCCGGGCACAAAGCATGCCCTATTCAGAGGCCTCTGGGGATGTGACCTGGTAAGGCCAGCATGGAAGCATCCCCCAATTTACATAAGCATGAAGCTTCAGGGGGTTGTGGTCTAATGCCCCCACCCCACCCCAACCCAGACGCCACAGAAAGGTAGGTATAGACAATTTCCTATGGTGGTTGTGTTTTTCCTCACATTGTTTCACGTATCGATTGTATCTTGTGATCACTGCAAAACCTGCTCAGTGCTTCCTGCCTGAAAAACCTGTTTTTATCACATAATTTGGGGTATATAACTTGTTTGATTTCCCATGAATTCTTGAGCAGTTTGAAGAAAGCAAGCCCCATTGTTTTCATCTGTCTAGCATTTCAGAATAAAACTAAGAGTTTCTCAAATCAATTTGGTCTCTGTTTTGGGCTGTAAAACTGACAGGCAATCCTGAATCCTGACTCCTTGATCCCAGCAGACGTCTCAATACATTTTGCTTTTAAACTCAATACATTTTAAAGGATTGAAATTATAAAGAGTGCCTTTTCCAATAATAAAATGTAATTAGAAATCCAAAGGAGAAAAATCAGAAATTTTGAAAATGTGAAAATTAAATAGCACATTATTAAACAATGAAAAATCCCAAAGGAAAATCAGAAAATACATCCAGATGAGTAAAAAGGAAAGCACAATATACCAAGTCTTGGAGGATACAGCAAAGGCAGTTGCGTTCAGAGGTAAACTTATAGTGGTAAATGACCACATTAAAAGATAGATTTCAAATCAGGAACTTAACTTGACATTTTTAAGCAACTCTAAAAAAAAAAAGCCCAAAGCTACCCGAAGGAAAGAAATTAAAAAAAGTTAGAGGAGAGATGTATGAGGATTTCGAAAATAGAATAAAACTGAATCTAACATCATACAAAACCCAAAATTTTGGTGCTTTGAGAAGATCAATTAAATCAACAAATTTCAGTTAGATTTACAAAGTAAAAGAGAAGATACAAACAACTAAAATCAGAAACAGAAGTGTCAACAATGCTTACCAACCGAACCTAAATAAGGAGTGTTATAGAAGAATACTATTAAAAAACTGGACACCAAGAAATTAGGTAACTTAAACAAAATGGGGGGGGGGGAATCCTAGAAACAGATTCATTACTGAAATTAACTCAAAAAGAAACAGAAAATCTCAACAGACATATAACAACAAAAGATGTTCGGAATATTTTTAAAAACCTCCTGAGGAAAAAAGAAAATATCCAGGCTTCACTGACAAATTCTACTAAACATATAAAGAAGAATTAACAATAATCTTCAAATTATTCCAAAAGTTGGGAGAAAAACACTTCTTAATTCAATCTGTGAGGCCAGTGAACTGTGATACCAAAGACAAATAAAAATATCACAAGAAAAAAGCAAGCAAGGAAGAAACACCACAGTCCAGTATCTCTTATGGATACAAAGGCAAAAATTCTCAACAAATTACTAGCAAACTCAATCTGTCATAAGGACTATATACCATGATCAAATGGAATTTATTCCAGGAATGCAAGAGTGGTTCAATACAAGAAAATCAATCAGTTAATACAAGATTAACACAACAAAGAAAAATCACTACACGATAAGTTTAATTTATGCACAAAGGCATTTGATGGTTCCAACACATTTCATAATAAAATACAGCAACAAATTAGTAATAGAACATAAATTCTTCAATGTAATAAAAGGCCCTAATGAAAAACTCCCAGTTCACATTATATGCAATGAAAAAAAAAAAAGATAGAAAACTTTTACCCAAAGATAAAAGAACAAGACAAAACAGCCCACTTTGACTACTGCCATTCAGCATTGTCCTGAAAGTTCTAGTCAGGGTTATTAGGCAAGAAATCAAATAAAAGGTACCCAAATCTAAGAGAAAGAAGTGAAATGATTTCTATTCACAGATGGCATAGTTCTATATATAGAAAATCTTGAGAAAATCTAAAAGAGAGGTACTAGAACAAGTAAGCAAATTCAGTAAAGTCATGGGTACAAAATCAATATACAGAAACCAGTAGTGTTTCTATGCACAACCAATGAACAATCTGAAAAAGAAATTGAGAAAACAACGACATCTAAATATATAAAAAAGAAACATTTAACTAGCAAGGTAAAAGACTTGTACACTGAAAACTATAAAGCATTGCTAAAAGGTATATAGAAAGACCTAATCTAATACAACATTGTGCTAAGGTCACCCCAATCAACAGACCTCCCAGAGGAGTGATAATCAAATCTTACTGGAAAGTCAAGTCAAGAACGGAGGCGGGGATTGGCACAACGACTACAACACATATGCATGTGTATCAGAGATTATACTTTTGGTCTTAGGTGGTGGCTAAAACCAAGTGAAGCCACCTCCTATCAGTAAAAAACACTTAACAATACTTATATAGACCCCAAGGGGAGAATACACCCTAATTGGACACTTGTGACCTAACTTCTATCCAGCCTTTGGGGACCCAGGCCATGTGCTAGAAACTACTGGGACTTTAGATTCTGTCCTCTTGATGCCACGACATCCTTCACAGGCCACACCCGAAGGAATCTATGTGGAAATCCCACTAAGCAAACTGGGCTTTACCTCAAACTCATCTTGGACTGATAAACTCCCTTGGACTTAAGGCTGAAACACCTTAGGGTATGAAGAAGCTGATGACTACTATCCCAAGGTTATAGAACTGGTGATCATTGAACTTTGGTTCAGATCTCTTGACTACCATATATTTACTATTTTCATGCCTTCCTTGCTTTCTTATGACATGTATTATATGGGTAGGGATAGTTCTGTCTCTGTGAATGAGTGTTACTGAAAGTTTTGCCCTATCACCAGCCTGCATTGTTTGTGTAAATATTGTCCAGTCTTTTAAGTGTTTAATTTGTACAAATCAACAATTCATGGATTGAGGTCTGAAAAGTTGGTCTATACACGTATAATTTCTTTTCTCAATAGTGATTTAGATTCTATGTAATTGTTAAGTCAATGACACTATCAACAGGATCACTATGCCCCAGGGGGATGGATTTGGGGCTCACACTTAATTCTAGCCCCAATCTAGGAACAATATGTTCTTAGGACATGGTCCTGCTCTAAAATAGCTACATGGATAAATCTTGAAAATATTAGACTAAATGAAATAAGCCAAACACAAAAGAAAAACTATTAAATGATCCCGCTCATATAAAATATCAAGACTAGGTAAATGCATTGAAATGAAAGTTTATTAGTGGCTACCTGGAACGGTCTGAGGTGGAAATGGAAGGTATTGCTCAAGGAGTACTGAGTTTCTATTAAAGGTGGCAAAAAATCAGATATTAGTAATAATAATTAATGTATGCTCAAAAATAAGTTAAAATGGAAAATACTTTATTATGTATTTTTCACCAAAATAATTCTTTTTTTAAATTTGAAGACAAATATAAAAGCTATTCTGACAAACAGTAGAAACATTTTTTCTCACGGAAACATCCCTAATCTGTCCCTATTCCTATTTGGGTTACATTACTTTTTTGATAAACTTACTTGAAAAGATATTCTAAAACTCCCATTAATGCTCACAGAGGGAAACTGAGATTTGAGAAAGATTGTCAACTCACAAGTTTCTGGCTTCTACAGCTGACTGAATAGCGGTGTTATTTGGTGAGACAAGAAAGACTGGTGAGTCATGTTTATAAGGAAAGATAACAAGTTCAGTTAAGAGGACTAAGTCTGAGGTGCTTGAGCCAGGCAAATGATATGTTCATTTCGAGGCAGAAAAATGCAGCTAAGAAAGCACCTGGATTAATGGTTTGAGTCTGAGGAAGAGTCTCCTCTGGTGAAAATATGCATATGAAATGGGCCTTTCAATTACATGAGCCAAGAGCCTTTCACAGACTCTATTCTTCCAATTTCATTACACCTCCAACCTACCCGCCTTGACCCCACCCCCCTTCCCCCCAAGAAAATAGGTCAACTTACATGGGTTTCTGTGTATCAGATCAAATATCAAGTACTGAAAGTAAGGGTTTTTCCACCCTTACTGCCTAAAAATGTTTGAAAATATTAGACTCCTAATGTCTTAATACCTATTTGAAAACAACTTGCTTTTTTACCTTTTCCCTTGCTGCCCAGTGCAGGCTCGATTACACACCAAAAGAACAATCTTGTCACTTCCCGCTCTGGTGGAAGGCAGGTCCACTTTCCCCTGCTTTGCTGCTGTTTGCGTAGGGGAAGACAGTCTATGGTGATCCAGGCCAAATTTCAAGTGGTTTAGATTGTTATTTAAATAAATTCCTGAAACATAAAAAATGTAAGTCATTTTTTCGCTTCAAAATTCTCTTCATACATTAGAAGAAATATACACAACAGAGAAATAGGAGGTCAGCGCACTGCATAAGTTAAACTCCAACCCAAAATGAGAGCCCAAGAACAAATGGTCTACTCAGATTTTCTATCGAGCCACCATTACTTACTTTCATTCAGTCTAGTCTTAGTTAGGCTTCCTACCTATCTTAAGACAACTGAAAAGTACAACTCTTCACATCAGTAAGGATTCATTTTAGAAACGCAAATTTGCGGAGATGATGCACCAGGAAAAACTTATAATGAAGCCATCTAACCAGCATTCAAAAGCTGCTTTCCTACCAGTAGCTTCCTGTCCTCAAGGCTGGTTCTGCCGTCTGGCCCATAGGCCAGCTCTTTTCGGAGGCTCCTCAACTCTTTTCTCCCTCTTTACCTCTAAAAACGCCTGAGGTTGGCTGCTTATATGACACAAACTCCTTGTCAATTCCAAGCACAGCACCCTCCCAAAAGGACCACAAACCAACCAATCCTCGCATGCTTACTCAATTCTATTTTTTTTAAGCCACTCTTTCTTAACAAATTGATCAACCCTTACAAGATGCATAATATATGCCAATCGCAAGGCAGATTGTATCCCAGGGCCAGACAAAAAGATCCACCTCATGAAGTTGCTTACAGGCCACTGGAGAAATTTCAATCAACCCAGACAAAATTAAAAGCAACACACACTCAAGCAGAAAACAACCTGACAGCTCCTTCCCACAAGTCACTTCTTCAAAGAATGATGGCAATGTTCCTCATTGGGACTCAAACTGCAATACAAAAACCACTGCCATAGAGTCAAACCCAAACTCACACACGGTGACCTTGTCAGAATGAGGGGAGCTGCTTGCTCCACAGAGTATCTAAAAACCATAAATCTTTATGTGAGCAGACAGTCTCGTCTTTCTCCCAAAGAGCAGCTGGTGGGTTTGAACCATAGACCTTGCAGTTAGCAGTCCAACATTTAACTCACTATGCTTCAGAGTTGGGGAAGAGAGGTGGTGGGAAGCGGGGGCATCTCTTAAGCTTTGTTCCAAGGAACCAAGGTTAAAAGGCTGCATAAAAGAATTCACTTAACCACAAGCTGTTTTTGCAGAAACTGAAAAGCCTATACTGAGATTCATATGAAATTACAAGAGGCTTCCGAAAAGCCAAAACAACTCATTTTAAATGAAAGAACAAAGAAAGAAATGCATGCTTTCTGATTTCAAAACATAGCTCCAGTTAGTAAAACAATGTGGTACTGGTAGAAACACAGGCATATAAACCAATGGATAATAACTGTGAATCAAACCTATGTAAGTAATGCCAATTACATTTACGTATTTGTTTATTTCACTTTGTGAACTATCTAACCTGTAGGTTTACTGGTCTAAGATTTTTATTCAGATTTTTCTTTATGCCTACTTTATTCCAAGTTCACTAAAACTAATCATCAATCTCTGTGGCTACATTAGCATTATTTGTGTCCTCACATCTTTAATCTTTACCAGGTATGTCAGCAAAATACGGGGGGAAATTCCCATCATGACTATTTTCTTACAATTTTTCACTTTCCTCTTGTTCTTTTTTTGCATTATGTATTTTTGCTTGTGCTATTCAGCTTACAAAGTTCTTTATTATTATTATAATAATCAATGTACTATATATACTAGAGTAGAAGCCAATTCGAATATCTGCTGAGGCACCTAATTTTACCAAACTGCAAAAAAAAAATGTGATAAAAACTCAGGTTATACATGAGTATTTATGGTATATAATTTTATTAATATCAAGTCATATTAAATTCTACACTAGATATTAATGTAAGCAAATATAATTATGCTTTATATCATTTCTATTGTCTTCATCTTTACTTTCCTTTTAAGCTTTTTTCCTAATTACAAAAGTAACACATGCTCAATGTATAATTTGAAAGTATCTAAAGTATTTTTAATTAAAGCACCTGTAATTCTAAAACTCAAATATATCTCTTACAAATGTTTTGACATACTTCCACATTATATTTTCCATTTAGCTATAGAAATATATTTGAAAAAAATAAGAGCAGATTGCATTTTTTTCTTCATATTACATCAATTACATCTTCTTGTGTCCTTGAAAATTACTCCCAAAGCATGGCATTTTATGCCACTTAAAACATTCAACAAGGGGCCAAGGTATGTAAACTTCTCAGTCACACCCGGATACCAGGCGGGAATGAGCCAATGGGCTTGGAAGCAGAGACCATCAAGGTCATCCGGCCTAACAAAGTTTTCAAGATGCTACCATTGGTCTTTCCCCAACCGAAGCAAAGAATGAAGGAAATGAACGATGCGTGGAAATAATTAATACAGAAGAGCTAATGGACCATGCAGACCCGTCTCCACCACCACCAGGAATGAAAACCTAGAAGGTGCCTAGGTTCCACTGCAGGATCACAAGAGGATCCTGGACAGAGTGGGAGAAAAATGTGGAACAAAACTCAAAATCATTAAAAAAAAAAAAGACCAGCCTTACTGGTCTGAGGGTGACTAGTGGAACTCCTCAGACCATGACCGTGGGTCATTCTTCAAGCCTGGAAGTGAACACACGCGGCCAGGGTTCAGCTTTCAGTCAAACAACAGATCGGTCTGTACAGTAACTCCAAGGAGATGCACTCTCCTTAGAATAATCAG